CCCTACCCCCGCCCCGAAAAAAAGATTTCCTTCCCAAATGTTCTCTTCTCTGCATTTGTCAACAGAAACACCTACTGGTGGTGTCAAACTGCTAAGACTGCTGCAGGCTTCCTTTTTCCTCGTTTCAGTGTCAACGCCAAAAATTGTCAATCCTAAAATAGTACTTTTAATAAAGAAATTAAAAGTCTTGCTAGGTACTCAACCTATCATATTCTCGAAAAGCAGCACGCCTTTAAAAAAAATCTACTATTAATGGACCCCAATAGGATTGTTAAACATAAGATCATACTATCCCCTTCAACACTAAAGATACAGTAACAAGTAAATGTCGCCTCTTCACATTTTGTGAACAAAACATTTTAAAACACTTAAAGGAAATAAAAACAAATTTACATCTAAGTGTCATTCACATGTAATTCCGAATAGCCTCGGTGAAGACGTCTTTTCTGTAAGAAAGAAACAAGCTGGAAATGTTCCAGCAGATGTTACCTAAAACGATAATCCTGTTCTATACACATCTCTGTCTCCTGTTTCAGACAAATGCTCTCAGACAAATTGTGTAATCTTTGACATTAACTATATAACCATTACGTTCAAACAAACCGAATTCAGATACACAGAAAGAAATCATTCGGTGTCAATACTTTCTAAAATCAGCTTAAATTCCAGTCAATTAAAATATATTGTGCTAACATAATACCGATCTGCAACTACTTAAATATCACAGCACTTGTCTAATCTCACTGTAGAGATACTAAGGTCAGGCTTTTCTTATTCAGGCATCTGTGCTTTAACACTCAAGTGAAGCGAAAAACAAAACCCTCAAGGAAAATCTGCCTTTACACTGAAATATGTTCAGGTTATTTTTTCCCCCAACGTGGGCACAAAATGTGTCAATGCAAGGAGGACCTGTTCGTTCTGGTAGACGGTTCCAAACCTCAGAATCCGATTTCTATGAGGGTCCAAAGGGTATGAAGGTCTGAAAAAGGGCCATTCTGCTTCCCCCTACTATGCCAGTCGCGAACTTCACAGCATCGCCTGAAACTTGTTCCGGGGAGGTTGCGGAGCCGCGGGGCCGGCGGTGGGTCGCTCGCCCACCCTCGCGGGCAGCCAAGGTCAGAAGGGCCGGGGCCGCGACTGGCGGCCCCTGGCGAGTCTCGGGCTCCCTCCGAACTAGGGCAGGGGGTTCTGGCGCGCAGGCACCTCCTCGGCACCACCGGGAAGGGGCTTCCCTCGCCGCATGCCCCGGGGAGCTCTTGCCGCGGGAGCGGCGGGGCGGGGACGCCGCAGACCCGCCGCTGAGGGGAGCACCGCGGGGCGGCCTCGACCCGCCGCCCCTCTTTCACACCCTCTCACCTCCCCACACCCCAAAATACAGCCCCAGCCCCTCGGGGGAAGCTCTTCCAGAAGCGCAAGAGAGCGCTGAGGAGGGGCTACTCCGGGCTGGGACGCCCTCACCGCGTCGCCCCGTTCCGGGGGGACCGGCGCCGCCGCCCCTTCTCTCGTCCGCCCGGGGGACCGGGTGGGTCCCCACTCTCGGGAGAAGCTGGGTGGACGCGGGGCCAATATGAAGGTAAGAAGGCTTGGCGGGCGGGTGGCGGCGCGACTACTCACCCTGCCGAGTCCCCCACTTCTAGCAGGGGACCCCACAGCTCCTGAGGACGCCGTCTCCGCTTTACCTTCCCCAACGGCAGAGACAACTAACCGAAACCTCCGGCCCCGCCCTCTAACAGAAGCGAACGCGCAGCCTAAATTGCTAACTGCCCCGCCCCGGCCGGTCAGTTCGGACCAATGGGAAAGGGCCTCAAGTTCCGCCCGATCCCGCCTTTACCCCCTCCTTCTGGTACGAGCCAATGAGGAGGGAGCGCTTGTCCGAGGTTTCGTGCTCGCGCCGCTCGTACTCGAGTCTCCGAAGCCGAAGAACGCTGGTTCCTTATACAAGCTCGCCTGCGCGCTCACGCGTGCGCCGCGCCTCCTGGCACGCCAGGTTTGGTTGCCCCGCCAAGCCCTAGCAACCTGGGCTGAAGAGGCTGAGAGGGGCGGGGCCCGAGCCTGGAGCTTCGCCGGTGGAAGCGCGGGGAAGGAGGGTCGACGGTGGTGGGGTGGGAAGATCGTGACTGAAGGGTGGCTGCGGGGGTAGGGGGTGGCGAGAAGGCCCCGGAATCCGCCTGTCACTGCGGAAAAAAGGGGAATCCTGCCTGCAGCACAGCTATCCTGCCCTCCCTCCGGAGGGACCCGTACGGAGGGCTGGGATGGGGGAAGTCGAGGAAGAGGGAAAGAGCACATTCGGGGCGGGAGCTAATAAAGGAAGGAGGATGGTTTATCTCTGTTGTTGGTAAAAATGATATCGAAGTCGAGTGCTGCTGCTGCCCAACTGTTGCCGCTGCATATGCACACACACACACACACATGCACATATGCACACACATAACACACACTCACACGTACACTCACTTATCCAGCAGCTTGGGATCCCTTGGCTGAGTTAGGCGCAAAGACCTAGCCGCCTGAGGATTCCTTACACAGCAGCTGGGCGCGTGCAAAGAGCTGTTGCAGCAGTAGCAGCAGCAGCAGCAACGACCCATAGCTCCGCTTCGGTCCGATGCTCTGCTGCACAAGATCCCCCAGCTGGCATGAAAGCAATGAAGTCATCGCCCAACCAGTAGAAATGTAAAGATCTTAATACTGACTATGGGTCGGTTTTCCAAGGAGGATGAAGAGGTGATGAAATGGAAGGAGATAACATTTCCAGTGCTACTTTTAGAAAATAAAGAAAAATAATTTTTAAAAAAACATTGGGGACAAGTCTATGGAAAACTGCATAATAATTTTCACTTTAACAAGCAAAGCAGAAACATAGGGTCTCTTCTGGTTGTTAGGAAAAGGACGGAAAATAGGCAGTGTATGAGGTCATACCAGCCACCAAATTAGAAAGATGCAGTACTGTAATAGGAAATAGATATTTTGGATAAAATTCACTTCATCTATTCCTGTAGTGAATCTGGTAACAATATGTATCCATATGCTGGGTTTGGCCACTTGATACCAAGCCAATAGGGTCTTCTTTTTCATAACGGTGAATATTTGATGAGGAAATGAAAGTGGAAACATATTAGAAAATTTTACAGGTAGGAGCAATGAATTAGCAGAGAGGGAAAATGGAGTCAGAAGCAACAACAGAGGGCTTTGCAGAGTCTCCTGCCTCCCCCAGATGCAAAGTAACAGTGCAGTGACCTCAAGCTTCACCACGTGGATCCAGAGCTCCTGGGGCAATCCCTCCACGTTCATCCCTGTAAGGTAGAGCCTTTCTGCTAGGAATTTCAGCAGCATTACATTTGACTCAAATGAATCATTTTTTAAAATTTTTCTTTAGGCCTGGTGAACTGGAAGTAACAATTATCCATATAGATTCAGAAGATGGAGAAAAACCAATAACTGAACATTTGTTAATATAGGTCCAATTTAGTATTAAGTACTAATATTAGATGCCTTATAATGTCCCATCCCATATATACAAATACGACCTTCTGTTTAGGGAGACTTGCTTTGATCTGGTTTTGAGTAGTGGTAAAGGATTTCTTAATGTCACATACAATTTAGTTAATTCCTCTTTTGGTCAATAACTAACCTTTCTAGAAGGTTAGTAAAAGTTTAAAAAGTACCATGCCCCGGGTGTGGTGTCTCACACCTGTGATCCCAGCACTTTGGGAGGCCAAGCTGGGTGGATCACGAAGTCTGGAGTTCAAGGCCAGCCTGGCCAATATAGTGAAATCCTGTCCCTACTAAAAATACAAAAATTAGCCAGGCGTGGTGACAGACCCCTGTAATCCTAGCTACTCAGAAAGCTGAGGCAGAGGAATTGCTTGAACCCAGGAGGCGGAGGTTGCAATGAGCTGAGATCACAACATTGCACTCCAGCCTGGGCGACTCCAACTCAGGAAAAAAAAAAAAGTACCATGCAGCCAGGCGCTGTGGCTCATGCCTATAATCCCAACACTTTGGAAGGCTGAGGCAGGTGGATCACCTGAGGTCAGGAGTTCAAGACCAGCCTGGCCAACATGGTGAAACCCCATCTCTACTAAAAATACAAAAAAATAGCCAGGTGTGGTGGTGCACACCTGTAGTCCCACCTACTTGGGAGGCTGAAGCAAGAGAATTGCTTGAACCCAGGAGGCCGAGGTTGCTGTGAACCAAGATTCTACCACTGCATGCCAGACTGGGCAACAGAGTAAGACTCTGTCTCAAAAAAAAAAAAAAGTACCGTGCTGCCATTTAACTGAACTCTTATGTAGAAAGAACACTAATGCTAACCAGTGAATGAATACCTGCTATGTGCCAAGAACTTCACATAGATTTAGGGTTGCCCGATAAAATACAAGATGCCCCATTAAATTTGAATTTCAGATGAACAACAAATAATTTTTAGTATATGTATATATTTTTATCCTGGATACATGTGGGACAAGGCTAGAAGACTAAATAAGCCTTCTAACCATTGCAAAAAAAACATTTACGAAATGCCCTTCTAGGCCTAGACCTTGTAATGCAATCAGGATCTGGGAGTAAAGCTTAAGAACCAAATTAATGTATAAGTTTGTAGTGTTTGTAGAAAGAGCTGAGCATACTTAGACTAAAGCATTATTTGCTGTTTATCTCAAATTCAATTTTAACTAAGCATCTTCGATTTTTATTTGCTAAATCTGGCACCCTACATACATTATCTCTAATCCTCTCAATTCTCTATGAAATTCTCACCATTTTCCAGATTAAGAAACAGCGTCAGACCCTCCACAGCAACGATTTGCTTTTTTGCCCTTCTAATAGAACGCCAACTCTGTTGAGGCATCCACTCCCTCCACACTACCCAGAGACTCAGTCAATCAATGTGTGGCCTAATTACACTGAAGGAAAGTGTAATTAACATCCAATGGATTGAAAGAGAGGTTTTTCCCTGTCTACCCTGCTGGATGAACAAGGAAGCAAGTACCCTCGTTCCCACTGGCAGCCATTTCACGACTAAGAGGAAAACCAGGCTTAGGTCAAAGCCTACACACTAAATAAGGCAAAATCGAAAAATAGGAAAAAAATTTTTAATTGGGCTCTTGATGACATCACTGAGTTGTTTAATTAAACAAATTCTGCCTTTTCCTTGCATTTCAGACAGTTTGAGTCAGACTTTTTATTAGATGCCACAGATGCATCCCACTACAGATGTCAGAACCCATGTGTGCTACTCATTATGGGTTTCAATAATAAATAAACAAGTGGTAATCTAGATGTAAGCCATTTTTGGGGGGCCACAGTGGCCATACCTGTAATCCCAGCATTTTAAGAGGCCAAGGCCAAGGCGGGCGGATCACCTGAGGTGAGTAGTTCAAGACCAGCCTGGCCAGTATGATGAAACCTCGACTCTACTAAAACTACAAAAATTAACCGGGCGTGGTGGCATGCACCGGTAATCCCAGATACTTGGGAGGCTGAGACAGGAGAATTGCTTGAACCACGGAGTCAGAGGTTGCAGTAAACCGAGATCGCACCATTGCACTTCAGCCTGGGCAACAAGAGAGAAACTCCGTCTCAAAAAAAAAAAAAAAAAAAAAAAGAAGGAAAAAAAAGATGTTAGACATTTTTATCCTTGGTATATGTGGGACAAGTCTAGAAAACTAAATAGCATTCTATTCATTGTCAAAAAACACTTATGAAGTACCCATCTGGGCCTAAACCTCATAATGCAATCAGGATCTGGTAGAAAAGCTTAAGAAGCCAGTCAACACATAATGGTTTTTTGGGTTTTTTTTTTGTTGTTGTCGTTGTTTTTGTTTTTTGAGACAGAGTCTTGCTCTGTCACCCAGGCTGGAGTGCAGTGGCCTGATCTCAGCTCACTGCAACCTCTGCCTCCTGGGTTCAAGCTAATCCTCCTGCCTTAGCCTCCCAAGTAGCTGGGACTACAGGTGCACACCACCACGCTCTGCTAATTTCTGTGTTTTTAGTAGAGATGGGGTTTTACCATGTTGGCCAGGCTGGTTTTGAACTCCTGGCCTCAAGTGATCTGCCCGCCTCAGCCTCCCAAAGTGCTGGGATTATAGGCGTGAGCCTCAGTGCCCGGCTCAACGCATAAATTTATGGTACTTGCAGGAAGAAGTGAGCATTAGTTATTCCTTGGCCCTGCTCAGAGCTTAAATCAAACTGTCAGATCTTACATGTTTTCATTTAAAGTTTATACCATTTGGAAACTTTTCATTTTAGAAATTTGAATCCAATTCCTCATTTGAAACAAAGTGTCTATCTTTGTCCTCCAGGCACTGAGATTAACCAGGAACAGTGTGGAAAGAACAGAAATGTCAGCCTTAACACTTAAACCAATTTTCTTCTGTACCTTGAGCACAGCTTAAATTGCAATCATCTCTTTTAAAAAATGTTCAGGACATTTTCTCCCTAACCAAATAAGCTGTATCTCTATAATTGTGATTATGACGGCCACAATCACAGACAGTGAAAGTTGGCAAGGGAGCTATAAATAGTAATTAAATCCTAATATCTTGCAGGAGTTTGGTAGCAGGAATTAAAGACATTTTTATGTGTTCTATGTTAAAATAAAAAAAAAAAAAAGAAAGAAAGAAAAGAAGGGGGGTAGGAAGGAAAAGGAAAAAAGAAAGGAAAAAAAAAAGGGGAGGAAGGAAGGAAATGTCTGTTTCAAAAGACCCAAGAAAGAAAACCACACCACAAAAGGACGCCACAAGAAAAT